CCCCCGACCAAATTAATCAAACAGCTTATTCAACTGAAAGCTATTTTCCTGCAACAGCGACTATCATCACTGGGCCCTTGGAAGCTTTTGTGGTGCTGCACTCTATTCATCTGTAGCTTTTTTTATGTTTTTATTGAGCCCCAGTTGTTCAGTTTCTTCAGTATTGTAAATTAATGTATTATTCATTAACACTCAAATATGCACCATGGCTGGTGTGAGTTTTGGCAAAGGTGATGATATAATCCTTTTATAATGCAGCTTGTTTTTTTTCCCATACAACAGACAAGAAAAAAAACATATTTAATATCCCCAATTAGCTACAATTAGTAATCCACTAAAGACAGCTTCATAGTGGTAATTTCCCACTTCCCTTTCTGTGGAATAACAAGGAGCAACCCCATCACAATCCAGTTATAATTGATCACTTAAACTGCCGTAACAAAAGAATTTCCCAGATATGGGATGAATAAATTTGCCACATCATCTTATTTCATCTCATCTGATCACCAACCCCCCGTACCCCACATTGGCATAACTATTGCTTTTATTTTGTTCATTCATCAATATGTGTGAAACTACCATATCTCCCTCATCTTTTGATTGATATTCATCCATTTGACAGGTTTTGTTAGGCCCAGATGCTTGTCATATGGATCATTAACGCTTTTGTTATTTGGAGAGCTGTTTTTAGTATCCTGGGTCACTCCATTCAAATGGAAAGTAGGTTTTCATCTTTGATGAATTTATGAGGGCTCTTGACAGGTCCTGGTGGGGCAGAATCAGACCTGCCAAGCAGAAAGAGATCCAAAAACAAAATCCCAAACTGGATAACCTCCCTGCAACCTATCCCCTCCAGCTATCCTCTTAGAACTACTCTACGTTCACTTTCCCCTTCTTTCTCATTTTCCATGTAGCTACAGCGTGTGGAAGTGTTTTGTTTTCCCAATGTTATCCAGGGGTCATGTATCTCCATGGCATCTAATGGCGACATAAATAATTCATTTCCATTACCAAATATGATAGGTGTGGAATAGACGAGCTGGCGGCCTTTTCATCAGATTTTTAATGATGCATATTTAGACGGGGCCAAGTGAGATATTTCTGTTGTCGGGCATCATTTGAGATGCGGTGAACAGATATGAAAGTTTAATGTCCGGAGAACTTGATCTGTCCTCTCCTCCGCCTGACGAGGATGAAATGCTCAATATGGTCTGACCATCGCAGGTGTGCGAGTGTTGCCATGAGCACGTCTCGTCTAAAGCGATAACAGACGGATACAGATAAGAAGTGTGATTGTGTCGGGTTTGATGCCACTTTCCTCGCGCAGTTACCCTTCATATAGCTCCAGTTGTATAAAGATGGAAAAGGAGCTTGAGGGATAAAAATAACAATAACTCTTGCTGTTGACAGACTGTTTTGTCATTTCAAGGTGTAGGTTTTCACCATCCAAGAAACCAAGGTAGAGAGTGGAAACTGACAGCTTTCACAGAGCGATATCTCTGCTGTTAGTCTGTCATTCAGCTGTTTGACTTTTCATGCACGCCAAACAAGCTGTCCAGGACATCTGCTGCCACCCGTGTGAACCACACCTCACTTCATTTATGCACTCTATCATCTTATGTCTTTTTTGAACCCTGACTTGAGAGTTCCAACAAAAATAAAAACACCCCCAAAACCAAAAACCCATCTCTGCACTTTCAGGAAGGATGCCTTTATGGTTACAAAGTAATGAGTGGTTTGCAGGGGTGCACAATTCTGCCTGTTGGTCCTTATTTTGCACCCCTTTGTGTGTGTATGTGCGTGTCCTTGCTATGTGGAAGTAAAGAAAAGAGATTTTTTACAGTATTAAAGTGGCCTTCTGGAGCAGGATTCACATGGTAATCAGGTCAGGGTGCACTGAGGAAAAACAAAGCTGTCCAAAAGCAGAGAGAGGGTCCAAAAGACGTGCTGTTTTCTTTCTTTCTTTCTTCAATTTTTTTTGTTAAGATATTTCAAGGAGTGTGAAGAGACACATGGAGAGATGCTGCCTTAAAGTG